CACCGGCTCACGGCGTGAAGTCTAATTTATTTAATTTAAAATGTTTATAGTCTTGAATGACACGGTGAACTCGGATGTTGATTGGCTATTTTATTTGGATGGCCAATAACAAAAGAGCACTCCCGAAAGCCAACTACCTAGAATAACAGTGATTCATGGAAAGGCATGGGAAAATCACGTACAGAAGCAGCAGAACGTACAGCTAGTCACAAGTTCTACTGCGTGGTAAAGGTAAATATATATATATATATATATATATGTGCAATACGTATGTACAAATAAGAAATCTGTTTCGGCATTAAGCATGCATATATGCATGGCAATCATTTAAGCATGGGAGTACTTGAACGAATTCGCGGCAGTTGTTTATCCTGTTTTGGTTTGTCAACTCGACGTCGAAATACTTATCCTGACCATGATATTCCTAAAGTGTTCGAACAATCGGTGAGTAATTACCCAACTAGAAGCAGTCGTTCCAGCAGCAGCCAACGATATTCGTCTGGGGCAACAAGACCTTCATCTTCCTACTACTCACAAACTGCTAGAAAATCAACACAACCCCGAGAGGAACGTCTAATCTTCACAGGCTCAAGTAGTTCCATTGAGTGTACATCGACCCGTACTGGGCAAACATCGAGTGGTTCAGAAGTTGCCACGAATATTTCAGCAGTACCCGTAAATATCATACGAATTAAGTCGAGAAATACTGGTCCTAGCAAAGTAACTCAGTTTGCCATTATTCACCATGCCAAACAACAACATCAAGCTCGTCAAGTGAAACCACCACAAACACAGCCTGTTAAGTTATCACAAGCAGAATCAGTAAAACCACCACAAACACAGCTTAGTAAGTCCTCAGCAAAGTCAGTAAGGCCACCGCAAACACAGTCTAGTAAGTCCTCACCAAAGTCAGTAAGGCCACCAGAAACACAGCATGTTAAGTCCTCGTCAGTAAAACCACCACAAACACAGTCTGTTCAGTCCTCACCAGCAGAGTCAGTAAGACCACCACAAACACGGTCTTTTAAGTCCTCGTCAGTAAAACCACCACAAACACAGCCTGGTCAGTCCTCACCAGCACAGTCAGTAAAACCACCACAAACACAATCTTTTAAGTCCTCGTCAGTAAAACCACCACAAACACAGCCTGGTCAGTCCTCACCAGCAGAGTCAGTAAAACCACCACAAACACAATCTTTTAAGTCCTCGTCAGTAAAACCACCACAAACACAGTCTTTTAAGTCCTCGTCAGTAAAACCACCACAAACACAGCCTGGTCAGTCCTCACCGGCAGCAGAGTCAGTAAAACCACCACAAACACAATCTTTTAAGTCCTCGTCAGTAAAACCACCACAAACACAGCCTGGTCAGTCCTCACCAGCAGAGTCAGTAAAACCACCACAAACACAATCTTTTAAGTCCTCGTCAGTAAAACCACCACAAACACAGCCTGGTCAGTCCTCACCAGCAGAGTCAGTAAGACCACCACAAACACCATTGAAGATTTACTTGAGAAATTTTACTTGTCAACTTAAAACTACATCGAAAGATAAAACCTTTAAACCTATTAAAGGTGATATTATATACCAAAACCAATGGACTGCATGCAGTGCTGTTATCATTGATCAGTTTGGCAAACAACTGTCCAATTCTACACACACGATAGGGCTAAGCAGCAATTCTCACGTAGAATTTTGGGATTACAAAGCTAAGGCTGGTCGTCTTCACTTTAATATGAAATGCAGTGAAACAGGGAATATTTCAATATCTATTAAGATTGATCAATTTAAATTTATCAAAGAGTTCTACGTAACTTGCAGTCCGTGTTCCAGCAGTTTGTGTGAAATAGTTGTCACGAAAATGGATTCGCTTGAAGATGAATGCGTATATCGACTAGCCATTGTTGATGTTTTTGGTGAGCCGATACTTGCAGATTCGCCTGAAATCTACGTACTGGAAACCGCTTCACCATGTGAAAATAAGATTGTACAAAAGCTTATGTATTCCAAGAACGGTAAGAAATATTTTGACATAATTGTAAGGGGTGAGAGACCTTGGTCAAAAGATCTTGTTCTTCTGCTTAATGGAAAACAAATTCCCCCAGTCACGAAATTTGAAGTCTCTCATAAGGAAAGTGAGGAAATTGCATCTTTTCTTGAGAAACACAAAAATGTATTATTAGAAAGAGATCAAGTTCCCGTTGATGATATTGTTGATTGTCTGGGCTCTCGTATGTTTATATCATTTCTAACAGGCGATGATGATGGAGAGTTTGTCCCTTACAATGAAAACAACTGTCAAATACAGCGTCTTCCAGATCAGAATGGCTACCAACTGGTCTGTCAAAATGCTAAAAAATACGATATCTTGGGTGCAGATTCTGCACACGTCAATAACATCAAAAGAGTTCTTCAACTTAAAGATCGTGTTGAAATCAACGAATCAGCAGATCAAACAAATGTCATCATTGACTTCAGAAATGTTCAATCTCATCGCCATCCAATTGGTAAAGAAGTTGTTCAGCATCTTCTTCGTGGTTTATATTACCGAAGGAAAGCTGCGGAAGTTGCCAAAGTTCGTATGAAATGGAAAAAGAGGTTTACTTCTCTTGATAGAGTATTACGACTGTCGTTAAGGAATAGTCCAAGCTTAAGACTTTGTAAAGGTTTTAAGGATTTCTTTGGCGGGTTAATGAATAAATACAATCGGGATGCTTGCGATGAACTGTTTATGTTTTTCAATTTCCAGCGAGATAAGAGTGAGGTAGATCTTCACGGTTTACTTGTTGCTGATGAAGAGAGATTAGAGTTGCTGAGGTTGGAAATGTTGCGTGGATCGCTAAGTAATGAAGAGATCGAAGCACTTTTTGGACAGTGCAAGATGAAGAGTTTTAAAGGTCGGAAAAAGCAAGCATTGAAGAAAAAATTGTTGAAAGGAGAAATGCCTGATGATAAAATTGAAGATTTCATAGAATTATGTCGAGATGATATACACGATGAATTTCGTTTGGACGCCTTCGAACGAGAGTTGTTACAAAGACAGCGGCACAGCAAACATGTGGATGGCATCATAAAGCAGTGGAGATCAGAAAGTGATGAAGCTATCCGGAAATTGGAAAAAACATTGGAGAATTTTGATCTTGAAGAAGCAATCAAGCGTAACACACCATGGCTTGAGATTATAGTTGGAGCTGGTCGTCACAGTAGAAGAAAGAATGAACAAAATATCCGACCAAAAGTTGAGAAACTTCTTAAAGAAAGAAATCTTCAGTTTGCTGCTGTGAACAAAGGATCACTTGTAGTCACGTTTCAAACCTACAGTGGTCCCGAGCCTTGTTTCGGAGAATATTATTGCGTGAATTGTGACCGATGTTGGAAAAGCAGTAAAAGTTATGTCATGAAATATCAGAAATGTTCTCGATGCCAAGTCAATTGTTGGCCAGTCAAACAACGAGAAAAAGAGAAAGTCGAAAATTACCAGCGTGATGGTGCTAGGTGGGAGAAACGTCAGCGAGGTCCTCATCAAACAAGTCTTTGCCAGAAATGTCATGAGTTAGGATATCCTTGCATTGAACGAAGATGATTAATACGACTCTGATTACTGAACAGCGTCACTCAGGAAACAAAACTATTTTATGTCAAGATTCAACTTTTTATAAGTATCAATTGTTATTCCAGAACTGGAAACGGTGTTTAATATTCATCAAATCCTGAAAAAGCTTTTTTCAAATCTTCCTCAGAATGTGCGTCAAACAGTGGAAAATTTGAGTCGGAGCTCTCTCTCAATTTGAGTTGGAAAACTCCGGCAAAAACTCTGGCAGACAAAATTATGAAAAATTCTTTCATATTTCAATGAACTTTTGGTAATGTAAAAATTAAGTTGAATGATTTGAAGTTACTATAAAGTTTAATTACTTGCTCCGATCTGATTCGTGGCTTCGAAAATTCTGCAAACGCATTGCTATCGCTTTTGATACAAAAATCCACTGACCCCAATGTATTTGGGCGAAAATACCACGCTGCCATGCGGTTTTACTTTCTGCAAAACGTCGTTTAAACAAGCACCAAAGGACGTATATTTGATAAGTAGAGGAGAAAGCTCAAAAAGAAATAAATTCTGAAATTACACTGAAATACTTTGCCTGCTTCTACTTTTAAATATGAAATTTCCTTAAAATTTCCTTGCCGGAACCGGAGTTTTGACTGCCGGAGCCGGAGCTAAAATAACTGGAGTTTGCACAGCTCTACAGTAAAACATACTTGACTGTAGTCTTGAAACATACACATATATTAAAGCTAGGCCATGTTACTGCCAGTGTGGGTAGTGCCAATAATAAGAAAGCTGCGGATTGATAGAGGTACCTGAAAAATACAAGGAGACCTTCGACATTTCGAGCGAAAGCTGCTAACTTCCCGACGAAAGGTCCTCGCTCGAAACGTCGAAGGTTTCCTTGTATTCTTCATGTTACATGAGGCTATTTTTGCTGCAACCAATATTGCCTTATGTAACACCTTAATTTGCAACTATTAGTGTCGCAATGTAAAATCGATTTCAGCGAAGTTGAACCGCCATCTTAATTTCGAAGAAAGTTGAACCTCTATCTAGTTTTCGCAATGATGCGCGACAGGTTGCGGTGTGTAATACCCTCCACTGCAACTTGCTTCGCATTTGTTTCGGCAAAGCAAGTCTCACATCTCCCTTTGCAATATTGCGTTGCAAGATGCAGTAAAGAATGCCTCGTGTAACATTAGATGTTTTGATTTAAGAAACCTTCAGTCAACAAACAGCAAAATAGTTGAGACAAATAATTTACTAAGGCAAACACGACTAGCGGTTTCCGAACTTATATTAGAGACGTTCAGATTTGACGTCCGCTACCGTTATCATTACCGTGACCATTAACCAATCGGGTGCATTTCTTCTATCCGACAAACCAATCAAATGTGTATTAAGTCTGTGAGAGGTAGCGTGGTGGTAATTGAAGTCAAATCTGAACCTCTCTATAATAGACAATGCTCACTACTGCAATTCTGTTTCCAACAGCATTACGCTTAGCATGCGTGAAAAGTCTTAACACGCCCCGCCGCGTTCAACAGATCTATCTTGGCGGATATATCTATCTTGATCTATCTTCAACAGATCTATCTTGGTTATAGAGCTGTCTTATTATCGTCGCTACCTACACTGATACAGACTGTTCGAGATCAACTGCTGCCTTTGCATAGCCATTTTGCCATAATTACCATATACATGGTCATATAATGGACAAGTTGCATGTTAGACTAAATTTTAATCTAAGTTTATAAAACTCATTAATAATTCATGACGAAAATTCAAAAGAACTGAATGTTTAATCAATGTTTGTAAATCGCATAAAGATTTGTCCTGATTTACATAAACTTCAGCTTTGATTTTCTCGGCTTAGACAATGTTTATTTTTAAAATTACTTCACCAATGAACTCATAAGTACTAGATAAAACATTCGCATCCGATCTTTATCTGATATAAAAACTCGAGCCGAAGGCGAGAAAGATCGGCTGCTCATGTTTTATCTGATACATAAAGAGAAGGGAATCAAACACCACAGCTAAAAAGAACATAATGAAATTAGTAAAATTGCAAAATTTGGTTGCGAGATGTTGTAAAGCTTGGAAAGTATAGTCTTGCAAAGTTTGCAAATTTTGTATATGTTTGTATTACGTGAGGAAATTTCGGCTCAAAAATGGTAACAATTTCCACACGTATATATTAATACAAACATTGTAACCAAATTTTGCAATTTTACTAACTTTAATAAGTTCTTTACGGGAATTTACTTTTTTTTGCCTGGATCAAAAATTAGTCTAACATGCAAGTTGTCTATTGCCACATACATGTTCTGTATATACTTTTTAGCCTAAAACTAAAAGCCCTGTGTTCATATGTAATGACATATTAGGCCTTGTTCACACTAGCGAGTTATATCGATCTCAGACCGATCCATGGCAAAGCGATCTCGATATGAATGTAAGGTCGATCTAAACGAGTCCGCGCGCAATGTGAACGAAAAAGCGAACTCAAAGCGAACTGAAACTCTGGTTACCAATCCCTATCGTCTTGCGCGTTCAGATCTGCCAGCATTTAAATGCAAAATGCCTGCCAGCCGCGGAGAAATTTGGACGGAAGAGAAAAAAAAAGCGTTAATAAATGCATGGGGAAGCCAAACGATACAATTAAAACTACAAGGATGCCATAGAAACTCAAATGTATACCAATGTCTCCTCGACTTGGTTCGACCCAAAACGCTCGTTCACTATTGAGATTTGAACTACATATCGCAGGCATTACATTCAAAAAATCTGGACGAATCTTCCTACGTCTTGACGAAACAAGTTTGATAGCACTACCGTCTGGCCATTTAAATTGTCCAGCAATTTCAAAATTGGCGGCAAGCATGTTTTCCGGCCAAGTGTGAACGTTCCCCAAATGCGAACTGAGATCGATCCACTTTGAATCGATCTCAGTGTGAACAAGACCTTAAACTACTGAGAATGAATATTCGACAGCACTTCACGTGCGACACTAACGTCTAGTTCTTAAACAACGTGTACACGAAACAAAATAAAAAATCGGTTAACCCAACAATAACAGATCAATTTAATAACAAAACGCTAAAATTGTATTTGACCAAATACTCACAGCAAGAAGCCATGGCGGTGTAGCTCCTGCAAAAAATAAAATAACAGGTATGAATGTAGTGTTGTTGATAGAGTGGATGCTGTCAAACTCAAAACCCCTGAATTTAACTATTTTCAGAGTGAGATATGAAAAACGTCTCACTCCACACTCAAAAATAAAAACTCGCGTGGTATACCGTGGACAATCTCCTCGTCAAATGGTACGAATACCGCTTTTTTTTTCATAGTAACAGGAGATTTTGAAGAATAAGTAAAAAGAGAAACTCTCCGTTGTTTCTTTTCCTACCACGCTCCCTCTCTCTACACGTGCTCTGCCAAATATTACGCGGTTAGCCGTTTTCTATTTGCCTGCGGAGGAAGTTTGCTCGGTCACTCTGACCAGTCTGAAGCCTGTGGGTGCAAGCTCCTTGCCTAGTTCGCATCATTACTCCCTGTTGATAAAATATTTCAAGCAAGGTGAAAAAACTATTGGAACTATGTACTCAACTTGTCCCTATATACACATGCAGTATGTGCCTTGAAAACTATTTTACCCAATACAAGTGCAAAACATACCAGTATGAATATTGTCTCCAACATTCCCATCCTAAACAAATATGGAAAAATGTTTAATCTCTCAGGGGCCAGTTGTTCAAAGCTGGGTTAGCGCTAACCCTGTATGGGTTAAAATTTAACCCGCTGTTTAGTCCTGGCATTCAACATTGGACAAAAATGCGATTAACGAAGGATATAGTCTGAGCACATCAGTTTATTTCAAAACTTTGGAAACTAAAACTTCTATTGATCCAGACATGAATTGTGGAAAACTATCTACATGTTTGTAAACAGGCTGTTGGGAAGATTGCTTTGAAATTTGTGTTAACCTAGGATTAAGCTAACTGGCTCTTGAACAACAGGCCCCAGAGTAATAGTAGCCTGCGTCACAGACTATGTCGTAGTCTAAGTAATAGCCGAGTCAGCAATGCTGATGCCTTTTCCCGCAGTGGCTAAAGTGAGCTGCGTGTGGGTCAGAAATCAAAAGTAAAGTAAAAAACCTTAGATAAGGATATTGAAGTGGTCAGAATATCATATATAGTCTGTATGCAGGTATTTAAAATGTTCAATTTCGTGTGCAAACACCTTTCTTTGCCCATTGGAAACCTAACTTGTATGAAAAGATCGTGTACCTCGTTCTTATCTAGCTTTCCTGTTTCTACTGGAAACTTTGAGACGTGCTGATAACCACCTATAGAAACACATGAAAACACATTTGGGGGCCATACAATGCACTTTTACCACGGACCGTGCGGCAGTGATGCACTATTGCTACAGACCGGTTCATGAACATGTCAACATCGTACAAAACTAGTGCCGATAACTCATGCTAATAGCAAACTACAGACAGGACCATTTTTCTTTTCTGGTTACTGTGTGTAAGTGTTGAATTTACTCGTAATTTTATGCAGATTATTTGTCCATTGTTTTGACTCCGCTACTATGATTGTTCTCTCTGAAGTTATTTTTGTATTTTTCAGGTAGTAGTATTCCATACAAAAAACTACTGTTTTAATTGTTTGTCTTTAAACAGTACAGTAGTAATTATTTTCATCATCCTAGCTGATAGGAATAAGAAAACTCAATGAACAAAATATATGGATGCCATTACTGAATTTACTGATTGAATTAACGCATCAACATTACTTACGAAAAGTCTTCTCTCCATCATCAAGATCAAACTCCCATGGGTACCATTGATCAGATCGTGCACTTCTGATAATATCAAGACAAATACAGTCTACTTTACGACCATAACATCAATCATGCACGGCGTGAGGACCTGTCAAAGGCTGGGCATTCTAACTAATTAAACAGGAGCTGATATAATTTTCATCGAATCCGGACACATGAAAAACTGTATATATTTATTTCAAAGTGGCAATTTAGGCTATTTCTTCCAAAAGCTCTAGCATTTATTACTGGTTTTTGATCCTTCATATAGCTAGTAGCATACATGCTTTCAAACATGCAGTAGATAAAATCATAGCCGTTTAGCTACATGCATTCATGGCATTTGGCAACAGCACTATATACAGCCATGTGATCAATTTCTGTATTGGAGTCACAATCTGGAATATTAGCCCATCATAATTTATATGGTCGACAAGTTTAGGAAAAATTGGTATATACCTGTATTTTACAATACCTCCACCCCAAACTCTTTGTCCATCATGGCTAAAATAGAACACCACAGAAATTTAGCCCCATATATATACCTGTTGTATATCGATGGTAAATTTTATATGAACATTGAGAAATCATTAACTACCCAATTATAGCGCTGTCCACTCTACGCATATGCAACTGCTCTCTGGATTAAGAGATAATAAACTATATTTTTATACATACAATCCTGTTGGATTCTGCATAATTCCATGATGACTCTTGACTGTACGATAGATTACTGGTGGTGGAACACAAGGTTCTGGTGGCTATACATATTGCATTCAGGAAAAAGTAATAACATTTTCGAAAATATCTTCTAAATACTAAACAGTATCCCGTCTTAAATAACACTACTTACAGCTTAAGGCATATAGACTAATTAAAAAAAGAGAAAAAAATAGAAAAAGTATAAAGTTGGATCACCGGGAATACAGGGTATTTTCATGAGCAATTCTGGGAATGGTATTTGGCACATGAGCGAGTCTAATGACTGGGATTCAAAAATCTGGAACTTAGTCCCTAAAGAAATCAGAGGAATTGGGTCCCAGTCTCTATTTGAAAGAAACATTGCTGTTCATGTTCCTAAATAATATATTTTTATATATAAATCCTTTATTGTAAATAGTTCACTATATGTTTTGTTAGTTGTCTATATTGTCAGTTTTGTCAATTGGAAAAGTTACATTATTTCTATTTTATTTTATTTTATTATATACCATAAGAACATTTTTATATAATAACTTTTGAACACACGCCCTTCGTGGAAATCAATATTTTTAATTGACGAAGTTATAGCGTGTCATAAAATAAAATCTATCTATCTATCTATCTATCTATCTATTAAGACAAAATTTGACATTTTGACTGCCTGAGAACATCCCACCCCCATCCCTTTTACGAATCTCTGTTTTCTACACCCACCACGCTGATTTCGAAATGTTGAAATCAGATTTCAACAACTTTCGAAGCTTTGATATACTAGAGGTTACTACATTCAGCTACAAATTCTACTCAAAACATCTAAGGTACATAGCAATACAGCAAACATAATTATATAATATACACAACATAAATTAATTTGTGGTGGATACTATTACCAGCAGCACACTTGATGTTTAATCTGGCAACTACAGACCTGTGCAGCGACTGTTTTCTGGCGTTTCTCTTTCTCTAGGATAGACATCACAGACTAAAAAATAGTGAAGTGATTATAAATGCAATATTCATAATCATGAACATCTATATACAGCACTTCCATAATACAGATGTTTAAATATTCTTTTATGTACATATTAATAAGCCTTCTCGGCCTCGTTTTTGTGACAGAAATTAATTAAAATTGTTGAACCTGAACGAGGCCGTGCATGACGGGTTTATTAATACACACAAGTCATAAAAATATTTAATCCCATCTGTATTATGAAAGTGGTCTACACCCAATCATACTGAGAAGTACATACTTCATTGCTTAGGAAACTGTATGAGATGAAAAATGCTGCATATATATGCATATACTGAAGTGTATATATATAGCTAGGGACTGCATGTAGCTTGCATATTAACGCACATTAAAAGTAATATCCTTTATATACCGCAGGGTTTACAAAAAAGGCGCAAAGTTATTTCAATTAACTCCACTCTTGGATTTTAAAATATATAAAGAATGCCAAATTACTTTGTCATGCTCTTTTCCAACTTCTGTTTCAAGATCCTCCAATTTATCTTTAACACTTTCTTTAAATCTAAATTGAAAAAAAATGAAAATAAAATTTCTTCTGTACATAGAAAAATAGAGATAATACAAAGTATAAACAAACGAGTAAAAAGTACTGCAAATAATTATGATAGTAAGTTTAATATTCGTAAAATTTATTTTCAAACTATATAAAAGGGGTCGTATAACAGGTATTCTTAAAAGAAATCTAGAAAATATTACCTGTGAAGTTCTTGTTGTGAGAGTAAGAATTTGCTTTTCTCACTTTTCTCAGCACCATTTTCAGCCCACCATTTGTTTGTATGTTTCAGATGGTCAGCACTAAAAATCATTTATGAAAATCAAAACAGTTGCTAAAACTGTTATATAATACGTTATACAACCAAACAGTTTTTCGAAATAAGAAGATAAAACATATACTCAGAATCAGGGCTCGAAGTAGCTAGAGAAAAAATATGGCCTGCCAGTCTAAAATCTTTTGGCAGGTGAAACATATTTTAGCCTGCCATTTGTATTCATTGAACTGCCAAAATGGCGATGTCTCATATGACTATGAGTCATATTGTAAAAATCAAATGTTTTCATGATTGCATTTTTATTGTAAGCTTGGATTTACATTTCAAATATAAACGTATTTAGTCAACTAAATGATCTATAGTATATATTAGTTGTGTCACTTGTGGTAAGCAAATTAAATTAAATATATCTATATAGAATTTGACCTGCCATGCCATTTTTTTTTACTTTGGCATGCAGTTCAAATTTGTTTTTGCCTGCCATTTCTAAAATACATAGCTTGCTTTTGGCCATTGGCAGCCCGCTATTTCGAGCCCTGCTCCGAATATTAACATCTTGTAAACTCAAGATATGAACTATAGGAAACAAGACAGAAAATTCGAGGTGATATTTCGAAGTCATTGTCATATCTATTTATAAGCGTGCTCGCATCTTTATTGATAAAGCAAACGGGAAGAAAACGTGATCAGCTGATGAGTGAGAGAACGCAGCAATAGCTAATATTTACAAGCATATTAATTAATAAAAACTACGAGTTTTTTTCGGTGCTTTCAAGCCGCTATTAATTAAGTTATGTTTAATTAAACTTTATGCGTGCATAGTGCTCCGAGACACAACAGATTAGGCTGGATTATAATAGTACATTCTGAAGTATTTTTGTGTATAATTGTTTTGTATGAGATCATCAATACGACAATACTCAATAGCTCACATGTTTACATTTACAAGGCATGAGAAAGTCTGGCAGCATGCTGCCAGGAATTTTTTTAATCTCACAGGAAATTTTTAAGGAAAAGAAAGATATCAAGAATGAAGCTCGAGAAATTTCAAAAATCAGCATTAAAGTAACAAACATCACAATTAGAGCATAAATACAACAATCACAACATAAAAAACTGTATCATGTGGCAGTGCTACGACTGTCTGTTATCATGATTCATGATTATGATACATGTGGAAAACAAGGGCGTACTACTATTATTAAATAGTGCATGAATACTGATATAAATTCAAACAAAATTCAAATATTGTTTCATAGAATTCCTTCATGTTCCTAATTCTAGTTAACCTATATTTTTCTTAATATTGAGGTAGTATATGACTTAGTAATGTAGTATATACGACGCTGTTATTGAATTACAACCAAAATTCATATTTATAAAAAAAATTGGCAGGAATTTTTTGGTCTGGGAAGCCTGCTGCCTGGAAGAAAATATTTTATCAGGGCTTGGTTTACAAGATGTTAATATTCAGAGTATATGTTTTATCTTATATGACTATAATTTCCGTATCTTTTTCATGACCTTGCTTTGATAGTACAATCCATCGGATAGTGATCTTTTCAAGTTTTCTAAAATTAGTCGTTATGATCGGCAAGACCCTGATTTTTGAATTTAGTATTTTATAAACTAAGGTTTCTTTTTTAATTGCGAGGTCTATATCCGTCGTATGTAATAACGGTTTTATAGCTTTTCAAGCATTTTTACAAAAGTTGAAAAGGTTAATCATTCAGTGTGTAACGGTAAGGGTGCAGAAAGTATTTGGTAGCGTGAGGCGGTTTCTACAAAAAAACGAAAACCGACCGAAAAAACCGAGTCGAAACTACGGTAAAAAAAGACAACACGCTACCACAGAATAGGAAGGTATAGCAGAAGCGTAACTCGAGCAAGTATTTTGTCCGCGATTCGTCATCAATCACGCCATCCAAGCTAGTACAACCGGCACTTTGTACCTACCAAAACCTGATAAAAACTTCTGGTTGTACTGGCCAGGATGACGTGTTGGCGTGAGCGAGTTAAAATTTTCGTGGACGTATAACAATAAGGGAAACGACTAGAGTTACGCTTCTGCTATACCTTCTTATTCTGTGACGCTACTCAGTACTCACGCAAGATAAGGTATGTAAGGTATTTTGAAGACGTAAGGTATTTTGAAGACGTAAGGTATTTTGAAGACGTAAGGTATTTTGAAGACGTTATCAAATTTCAAACAAAGTCTCTTCAGTTTTTCGTGTGTAAATGCCAAAACTTGATTCAATTGCATCAAACTCGTACAAGTATGGTTCGATTTCAGTAAAATACCGATTTTTCTTCGTTTTTCCAGATTTTTCGGGGGGTTTCCAAAAGAAACATCGAGTATTTCGGTTTTCCAAAAACATCGGGTTTTTTCGGTTTACCGAAAAACCGCCTCACCCTAGTATTTGATTGTAACTAACACAGAATGATTTTTTCACTCAGGTGGAAGAGCACTTGTTGGCCTTACCCATTATTGGACTGCCCATTATTACAAAAGGTCGTTCAGCACATGAATCGCCAGACATTTCCTACCTCGCTAAATGTTCAAAAACGCCACCAAATTGAACAGAAACGTTGCCATCGGTGATATGTTTCTTAACCTCGAGAGCACAAAAATGACACCAGAACTTTGATCCAGGTTCAAGCTCACCATTCACAACTGAAGGAGCATTTATTGTTTTTCTTGTTTCGTTTATCTAAAACAAATACAATTATAATTCATAGTGAGTAACTATTGTATACCGTTGGCATCATAGAGATTATAAAAGGATAGAGTGGGCAATGCGTCCTCTGATTGGCTAAAATGTCGTTGCCCGGATGTCTCGTTTGTAATAGACAATAGGCAATTCCAGCTTTTAGTTTATGCGTGCAGGGGACGATGGGAAGTAAGGTATCATGTTGCTGATTATGCTGAAAAAATAAAAATGGTGGCCGTGCAAACACGGAGTGATAGCATATACTTGTAAATATTGAAATATTTCGGTTGTTTCGGTAGTTTTTATTGCAATTTTTCAGCATAATCGGCAATATGATACCTTACTTCCCATCATCCCCTGCAGGCATAAACTGAAAGCTGGAATTGCCTATTCCCATTATAGACTAATTTTAAAACTAAGCAAGGAGCAACCTCGTACCCAGGGCCTGCCCGCCCGATATTTTGGCGGCCATATTAGAAAATCGGTCGGGCAGGCCCTGGGTACGAGGTTGGGCAAGGAGATGCAAATAAATCACCACAGCTAGAAAAAATATACTAAAATGAGTAAAATTGCAAAGTTTGGTTGCGAAATGTTGTATAGCCTTGCAAAGTTTGCAAATTTTGTATACTTTTGTATTGTGTGCGGAAATTGCTACCATTTTCGGCCCAAATGTGGTAGCAATTTCCACACGCAATACAAAAGTATACAAAATTTGCGAACGCCACCGCACTTTACAACATTTCGCAACCAAACTTTGCAATTTTACTCATTTTAGTATGCTCTTTCGGGGAATATACTTTTTTGCCAAGATAAAAAATTAGTCTATAATGGGTCTATTGTTTCTCTATATTTTTTACTTCTTGATGGTGAATTCTGCATGTTCATTTGAATTTGAGGCGGTTTCATTGTATTGCTTCCCTCTCATAATGCGTCTTACATCGTTTGTGTCAAACAATAGCGCAGTTTTTCGGCCAAACTATCGCGATTCTCCTCCGCACCCGGAAAACGTTAGGCATGCAGGTAATTAGTGAATGCGCATGGGGGCCTTGATCCCCTGCGAGCATTTATCGTCATTATCCACATGCCGTTTTCCTTTCTCGACTTGGAGGTTGCTCTATTTTATAGCGCTTGCTCAGGACTCGGTAATTGGATTAATGACGGTTGTACCACCTCTTCAGTCTGCTGATCAAAATGCCATTTGCACGGATCTTTCCTTGGTGCTATTGTACCATCACAGCTATATACTTCCCAGGTTACCTCTAGGTGTTATTGATGGTGGACGTAGACTCGTAGATATTAATTTCATTGCAATAAAAAAATCGTTATGGCCAGAGAGCGGACTAGAAGAAACATCTTGGGAATATCCTGGCACATCCACAGCCAATTTAAATTGTGTGATTATAAATCAAACAGGCCGCCAGCCAGGGGGTTCAGGTATATTGGTATACTTAGACTCATTTATTTTTGGTATAAGGGATCTTGCTGTGAAAATGCGAGCTGCCCATGAGCAATTAATTCATAGTTCGGAACGTCCATATAAATGTCGACATTGTGGTAAAACAAATGTTTACATTCATATAGACGTTCTGCGCTATGTCTCCTCTCGTTTTCTACGAGTTTATTTGGTCTGTAAATCTTTCACCACGATATTGATCGCTCTTATGGATGCTCGTATTGACAATATATATATATATGCTTATATCTTTCCCTGCTGATACGACCAGACGATATTCTCATTCACTTGATACTGACAACAAAAAAAAATGCTTCCCATACTAAAAAGTCCTTTCCTTCATGTGTATTTGTCTCTTTAGTCCGCGCACATGTACAGTGGAATCCCGCCTTACGGCCACTCCAGTAATACCTCTTTATTATGGCCACTTATTTTTATCCCGAAAAACGCCAAGACAATGCATTTCTAAAAATGATACCCCGTTAATACGGCCAAATTTTTTCGGCCCATCCTTGGCCGTATTAACGGGGCTCCACTGATATATTTCGACCAGCTGTCAGAAAATATGTAAATTTGTCTACGTGGCAGTGTCATATTACTTATCGCAGTGAAGGTGGATTGGTGTACTTTCAACAACTACGACACTAAACAGTAACTACAGCAACAACAAAGAAACAATGAACACGTATGTCAACACTTCGCGTAGATATGTGCATGCACGCTTAGCGTACCTATTTTTATATCAAGTTAAAAATCATGAACTGAATTTCAGATACCCTTATAATTCAAGTATTTAAAAACCTCAAATGAATCTGATTAATTAACAACATATAGGCAGGGCCGTACACAGCGGGAAGTGAGGGGGAAGAAGGGGCAAGCAGCCTGCCAGCCCATAGCGAAAAATCAACTGATTTTTATGTTATTATTAGTTATTCTTTGTGATTTGGGTGCTTATTTCAGCACATAGGTATTACTGCCCCCTCCCCCCTTCGTGGAGAAATCCTGAGTATGGCCCTCATGTATTGTCGAACTCCGAGAATCTTTAAATCTTTACCGTCACCGCTAATAGAAATAAACCTTCTCAGTTCAGATCATCAGATCTAAACTGTTGGAATACAGTATTTTCATCATGCAACAGAACATGTATATGATGTAGATATTAAAACTGCATGTGTAAAATGTCATTCTGTTTAATGCCATCCTTTGTCTAGTCTTATTGATAATAAAGTGATCAACTCTGTGACTGTGGGGATTTATCTGTCACTTGTGACAAAAAGCTTTTAAATAAAGACTTTTTTAAATTAAAAATTTGCAAAATATGTCCGGTCCGATCAAAATGGGAATCAAGATTGCAAAATAATTTGTATCAGGCTTACATACTGTAAGTTTTTAGACAGTACGTAAATAGTTTGGTTTGGTTTAGTTTTTAGTTAAAATTAGTATCCATTTATGGTAGAACTTGATCAAACAAGCATATTTCTGAAAGTGGCGAAAATTTTATAAATGAATAAGTTCGATTGAGACGCGAATAAAATGTGTTGAGCACCAGCGAAAACTTCAGTATATGCATTTCGGTAAACAAATTTTAAACACTAATATCCTTTGACCTTTTGATTACGGGGTTTTTCCTTGGGCGAAATATATAGCTACGGCGCAAATTTTTTTTCCGTAGACAGTCGGACTCCTCATTGATAGTCGGACGCATCATTGATCCGCGTCCAGGCCTCCGCGCGTTATCGATCGATCCCTTCGTACCCTGCATAACCCACTGGTATACCATATGTCCATCATTCCGCGTTGCTCCAGTCTTCGACCACGTGTAGAAAGATTTTCTTCGCGATGCTATAGCAAATCTACAAACTTTGTTTTTCTGGTTCCGAAAATACTAAAGAACTGTTATTGCGAATTAAAACTATATACCATCCTAATTGAACAGAATCAGTATAAGATAACTAGCGTGCAAGGAAATATTGGAAGATTCAAAGCGACCATCAAAACCACTTTCCACAAATAGAAGTATTGCAGAATACCCGTCCACTAGTAATATCATATCATGTAGCCCAGCCACATTTCACTGGATATGTATATACCAGATCTTATTGCCTGATTCTAATATACACAAACTAATTACTAAGACAATATTACGAATTGATACAATAAAAGAAATATCATGCAAGATTTTTAATGTTTAATATTATTATGCTTAATATGCTTTATAATATAATTTTTTTTCTCCCAGCGACGCTAATTAATCATAATCTGTCAAACACCAATGTCCGGTTGTGAGGAACATATTTACATATTACACCACATTTAACTATTTAAGCTCTCTATAGCATGAGAATTTAATCTATTAATAATCTATTATTAATCTATTAATGTTAACTGTCGCCTTGATCTCAAAATAACTACTTGACTGCGTATCCACGTATCCGCTAAAATATAGAGCTACCTATAGTATGAGAATTTGATCTAATGCTAATCTAACTGTATGCCTCGTTCTCAAAATAACCGACTTGACTGCGTATCACGCGTATCCACTAGAATATATAGAGCTACCTTTAACACTATGACAATTTAATCTATTCATGCTAAGTCAGTGTATGCCTCGTAGCTACCTTTACCACCATGGGATTTTAATCTATCATTTACTAGACTATGAGACTATCAATGTATTTATTATTAATCTATTGAGAATAAATATAGATGTATTAATACATCGTGTCCATGTTTGAAAGGCATAGCTTAAAAAGTCTAAAAAAAAAGTGGACGGGTATTCCGCAATCGCTCCGAAAAGAGTTACAAAAAACAGTTGCAAAAGTAAAGAAAAGCAAGTGGAAATGGCGAATATAACTTAATAAAATATGTTAGATGCCATCACCACACAAGATATGAAGCCACAATGTGTCCTGCTCAGATTTTGACATCTCAACCAAACAATACAATATTTTGTAATCACCAGTTACGTGCGCAAGACACACTGGGAAGGCGCATCTGATAAGGGAGTAACCGCTGAATATTTTGTTTAAGGGCGCGGGTCGATGATGCGTCCGACTATCAATGAGGAGTCCGA